GAGAAGAGCCCGAGCGCGCAGGAGCTCAAGGAGCAGGGCAACCGGCTTTTTCGTGGGCCGCAAGTACCCGGAGGCGGCGGCCTGCTACGGCCGCGCCATCGTGAGTGCGCCCGCGCCGCGGGAGAGGTCTGGCGTCTGGGCCAGGGGTGGGGCCAGGCTGCGGCTTCAGCCCAGCGTCCTCCCTAGAATCCCCGCCCGGCCGCCCTCCCCAGACCTTTGGACAGGGTGGGGGTGGGGCGCTTGGGCTCTGAGGATGATGGTGATGGGCTTTGAGGGTGATGATTTTGTTCCTGAGGGGTCAAGGCTGCGGCTCCCAAGCCAGTGCTGGTTGCCAGAGAACTGTGGCGGATGGGAGTTTCAGGGTTGAGGCCCTGTGGGATGAGGGACCCTTTCCCCTTTAGAAGTCCGAGTCCAAAACAGGATCCCCACAAGTACGGGAAAGCTACCTTCACAAGACTCCTTAGAGTGTTGAGGGTGGGCTCAAGTAGGCTCCACCCTCCACCCATCCACAGAACCCAGGGAATTGGAAGCCAAGAAACCTCTAGTGTCTTGATTCCAGCCATGGGCCTCAAGCTGGGACAGAGGGAGCAGGGTGAGCTCACTCCCTTATGCTGGCTGGTCCGACTTTGGTCCCCAGACCCGGAATCCCTTGGTGGCAGTGTATTACACCAACCGAGCACTGTGCTACCTGAAGATGCAGCAGCATGAGCAAGCCCTAGCTGACTGCCGGCGCGCGCTAGAGCTGGATGGGCAATCTGTGAAGGCACACTTTTTCCTGGGGCAATGCCAGTTGGAGATGGAGAGCTATGATGAGGCTATCGCCAACCTGCAACGAGGTGGGCCGACAGGCTGGCCAGTTCCAGGGCATCTGGGACCAGATGGGTGTACTGGCTGGAGGATTACCTGAATCCTCTATTCCCCCAGCCTACAACCTGGCCAAGGAACAGCGGCTGAACTTTGGGGATGACATCCCCAGTGCTCTGCGAATTGCCAAGAAGAAGCGCTGGAACAGCATTGAGGAGCGGCGCATCCACCAGGAGAACGAGCTGCACTCCTACCTCACAAGACTCATTGTGGCCGAGCGTGAGAGGTGGGCTGTGGTGATGACAGGCTCCCCTCACAAATCACCACTCTAAGGTTAACTGTGAGTCACAAGTGTTTATTGAAGGCTAACTGGTAAGCAGCGGATGGAGGGGAACAAGGCCTGAATAAACTCAAGGTTGGAGTGGAGTCTGACCTCTCCTGGCCAGACCCACTCCTGATCAGCTTTTGGTTGACCCCCCAGGGAGCTGGAAGAGTGTCAGCGGAACCATGAGGGTGATGAGGATGATAGCCACATCCGAGCCCAGCAGGCCTGCATTGAGGCCAAGCATGTGAGGGTGCCCTGGCCCAAGCGTGGGTCCTGTGTGTGTTTGCACGCATGTGGTGTGAGGTGCCCCTGGCTCCAGTTGGGTCTGTGTGTGCCAGTGCCTGGGGAAGGGAGTTGGGGTGTTAGACCCATGTGAAGCTGCTTGGCTCTTTGCAGGACAAGTACTTGGCAGACATGGATGAGCTCTTCTCCCAGGTGGACGAGAAGAGAAAGGTGAGCTGGCTTTCCTCTGGGGTCTGTGGGTAGGAGCCAGAGCAGCATCCTTTCCTGGTCCCTGACCTGACCCTGTGTGCTGCAGAAGCGAGACATCCCCGACTACCTGTGTGGCAAGATCAGCTTTGAGCTGATGCGGGAGCCCTGCATCACACCCAGTGGCATCACCTATGACCGCAAAGACATCGAGGAGCATCTGCAGGTGAGAGCCCATAGGAGTTGGGAGCACGGCCCACACCCACTGAACATATTCTAATCTTGATCCTGTTGTCACTGCAGCGTGTGGGCCATTTTGACCCTGTGACTCGGAGTCCCCTGACCCAGGAACAGCTCATCCCCAACCTGGCCATGAAAGAGGTCATCGATGCATTCATCTCCGAGAATGGCTGGGTGGAGGACTACTGAGGCAGGGCAAATGCATGGGTCACTCACCCTGCCTTGCCTGGTACCCTGGCACAGTAGGGCCTTAGGGCAGTAGCCTTTAGCCTCTGTACATAGTTTATGTCCCTGGATCTCTGCGCTGGTGTCCCCATCCCACCCCCATCAGTTCTTCTGGGCCATGAGTCTCCACTCATCCCTCTTATAGACCAGAAATAGTGGGTGAGGGGCTGAGGCTGCTGCTGCCACCACTGTCCCTGTAATAAAATCTGTGAGCACTATAGGGGCGTGTGCTGGTGTGCAACAGGTTCGCCAGCTACCCCCTTCCTTTGGCTAACTGAGGAAGGTAGAGATGAAGACACTGGTGTCGAGGTTGAGTGTGGCATGCCACCACCGGTCAGGGAAGTACAGCACCTGGTGGAGGATGGGAGGGCACAGGGATTGGCTGGGGGCCCTTGGTTGCGCCCACCCTGGCTCCAGCCTGCCAGCCACTGACCTCACCAGCCTGGATGGTGCATTCCAGGGGCCGTGCAGATGGTGCCAAGGCCGGGTATGTGTCCCGGAGCCAGGCCAGCGTGGTCTTGTTGGGGTGGAACTCTGGTGTCTTCTCAGGGGGGTACAGGAACCAGCGCTGAGAATGGGAGCAGCAAGGTTATTCTGTGTGTTGTGGTCAGTGAATCCAAAGTCTCAGCCACCACCCTGTGCTGACCTTGCGGCCGTAGATCACCTCCGAGAACCCGGGACCATGCCAGTGGAAGGGCACCCCAGAGCCGGCTCCTGTGGGTTATTTATGAACAATTGGTTACCAAGCTTAATCCTCTCCCCCTTCTCTCTGGCTGCCCAGTCCCCAAGTCTCCTGGTCCTGAAAGGCACACTCACCTGCAATTCCAAAGCTATAAGCAGGAGTGGTACCTAGCAGACCAAATGGAGGTGGAGAGTAGTGCCGAAAGAGTGATGCCCATTCAGTGAAGTTGTTGTCCCCGAAAAAGTACAGGGTGTCTGTCAGAGAGAACATGGGAGAATGCAGGGATCTCGGCACCTAGGCAATCCTAAATCATCCCATGCTACCCTAATCTGGCTCACCATTGCCCATGGAGAGGGGATCCTGAGGGTGCAGCATCTGCTCCACATACTCCTGAAAGGGCAGATCCACTGCAGTGTGAAAAGGGATGGTCATGACTGGTTTGTGCTGGTAGCACGATGCTGGGTTGCAGGGTAGGGCAGCTCACCTTTCCGGTAGGAGTAGGTGTTGGCAGTACTCAACCGGACCACGCTGTCCCCAAAAGAGGCCAGTAGCCTTTCACGGGAGCACAGGACCCGGAACCTCTGCAGGAGTAGGGAGAGGACTTAGGGGTCAGGTCTAGCAAGGGCGAAAGGTGGCCGAGAGAGGCGTGAGCACTCACCGAGTTGTCTGTGAGCCCTTGCAGAATGACAGGTCTGGAGAAGGCGTAGCTAGAAAGAAGGGCAGGGTCACCGCCAGGGCTAGTCCACGCCTACCACCGTCCCGCCCACGCGCGCTCGCATGAGTTCC